GTGAACGGACGAGGCAGACAGCGCGATGTCAGAAAAGGCTCCACGAGAACGACACCGCCAGTGGGAGAATAAAACATGCATGGTTTCTGGATGAAATATAGAGTTCTGTGAATGATTGGCCGCCTACCGAATCCATCATTCCGATGTCCGATGGGTGACTTCAGTGCAAAATGCGAAAAGGAGTGACGGAACAACGACCCTGGCGAATGTAACAATAACGGCCTGAGGTTGTTGCGCTTCCCGACAAACAACGGATTTTCCATTATAAACCTTCGAACATCGATGCGTGTATCAGTATATCTGGTACAAAGAAGCTTTGCGCAGAAGTCGATGACTGATTTGATAATCGCATCATTGGACTTAGACACTCTGCGAGGGATGTTCGTGTTAAGAGAGGCACAGAGCTGTCAGTTGAATCACAACTTTGTTGTTGGCACTCTCTACTGCAAAACGTGGATTTCGTGCGAAGACCTAATGCCTGAACAAATCAAATGAGAAACTGCATATTCTGCGAACATGAGGACGAATCTAGCGAATAGCATCGCAATGCGGTTTGAGCATGCCCAGTAATGCTAGCTGATGTAGAAACCGAGTGGAATCACTTTAAAAGCAATTTACTCGAGGCTAGTGTTAAATGCTTTGGTTTTTAAACGCACTGGACTATCATGAAGGTCAGTTACTGGTGGACATCAGATGCTCAACTAGCTGCCAGCGAGAAGGCTGAATTCAACTCAAAAGTGGTACGAAAAAGCCAGTAGCGGGTAGCTAAAGTACTCGCTAACGCGAAAGTTGACTTTTAAGAAAAGTTGGTGAGTTACTGAGTCTAATTTCCAAGTAGCAAAGTATTTCGCGGACAACCTTCGCTTTTGAAACGGAAAGAAGGACAGTTTTAAAGAGTTGAAAGCCAAATCTGTCCGCATTATTATCAAGTAAACGGATACGTTTTACTGATGGAGCGAGTACCATGAGGAACTTCTTGATCATGAAAAACAATGGGGAGGGGCTCGTCTGAAGTGAGCCAGACAACGGGTAATTATCTTGCAGTGATAAAACAGTGAATGCTGCGAAAAGCTGGAAAAGTGGTAAAACTTCGGGAATTTGCGAAATCCTTTCTGAAATGCTTACAGCTTTAGGCAAATAATGCTTGTTGTGATTAACACACGTTTGTCAAGCAGCAGTGACTATGAGAAAGACACCAGCAAACTGGAGTAAGTGGGCTGTTGCACCCCTGTTGAATAAGAGAGATAATAGAGAGTGCTCGAATTATCTGGGCATTACCATGCGGAGCGTCCCTGAAAAAGTCTGAGTAATGGTGTTGCAAAGGTGGTATCGCAGAATCGCCGACCCCTATATCCAAGAAGAGCCATGTAGATTTTGCTCAGGCTGAAGCATCTCTGACCAGATATTCTCTCGACGCTAGGCTGAGTCCTCTCTTCTGGTTTTCGGTGCTTTCTAGATCTGAAAGAACGCCTATAACCGGATCGTGCGCAAAAAACTATGGGCATGCCTGCAAGCGTATGGGATTGACGACCAGTTACGAGCCATTCAGTCACTATATGTTGAGGGCAGGTACTGTGTCAGAGTAAATGCTACTGAGTCGAATCCTTTCAGCGATGGCACTAGCCTCCACCAAGGCTGTTCTGTCTGCCCTCCTGTACATATTTTATATCGATAGAATATTCAGACGCAGACAGGGAGATGAGTGTATCAGCATAAGAGGTGAGGAGACGCGAAAAGCGCCGTCTGCAGACGACCTTGTTTGGTTGAAATCTTCCGAAACTGATTTCCAGCACTCTCTATAAGATCGCAGCCGAGTGCGACATGGCCAAAAAACAGTGTGGACGTGCTTAAAACCAAAAGCCGATTGTTTTCTCGTTCTCTGCAGACAAACGGGCAAGCGGTGGTCCATTTAAAGAAGTTTATCTACTTCACGACTGTGTTTACTAGCGATGGAAATCGGGTGGAAGAGATTGACCAGTGAATCAGGATAGCTAGCGGTGTTATCTGTTAACTACCCCGAACCGCTATGACTAATGCAGAACTGAGTCTGAGGCCGAAGCTGTCGATTTTCATTCCCGTACTCACCTATAGCCATTAGTCTTAAGCCATGACTGAAAAAATTCTCCCAGGAACAAATGGTTCAAATTCGTTTTTTGAGATGAATCATTGAGTTCACGCATCTTGATGGAGTCTGGAGTTCAGATATCTGATCAGGCTTTGGTGTACAGCCGCTGCTTCTCCAGATTGAAAATTCAAACTGCGATGGTTTTAATATGAGTTGCGAATGCTTCGTAAACAGAAGCTGTGATAGCCGCTACATGCTCATCCGACCGGTCGAAGGCCTGAGGAAGGATAGAATTTACTTGGGGCACGTGCCTCGACGGATTCTGCCTCAGACTCGGGTAGTCTTCTGTGATGCATAGACTGTTGGCACAAGATTGCAAACAATGTGGACACTGATGTTTTGGTCTTCGAGACCTGAAAAGATTAGCGGTCATCGAAACTCAATTGACTAACTAATTTTTAGACGGATAAATTTTACTTAATCATCTTAGCTACTCTCCAATACTTGCTACCGGCACAATCGTTTTACTCCTTGTAATTTAGGGCATAATGAAGGCCTACATAGGTGGTTCGATTTATTATGACATTTGTTGAAAGTTTCAGAAACAGTAAAGAAACACGTATGAAGAAAAACGTTTAGCGAATCCCTGTAAATCACAAAATTTTGATTTTAATCGTTTCTGCACGCATGCTACACATTTTGTTCAGAAACTGTTAGAGAATTGTGACATTGAAATGATTTGCGGTACACGTGTGTGACCTCAAAACGAACTGACGTTGTATGCGAATCTTTTCATAACTTAACTCACCGGAAGTTTCTCGCGAAATAGGCAGATTGCTTTCGCCCGACAGCACACCCATCGGCAGAGAGAGCATATCCGCAAATGAATCACATGACATGACCGCAACGAAACTTTGATCCGTTTCATTCGTGCCATGTATCAAGAATATTGATCGCACACGACTGTCAGTGGCTATTGTCCGGAGCGGATGTTGTTACGATCACTAGATCATTTGATTGTTCAAATGTTTCACGTCAACCTTTGTTGAGATTATTTTCTGGAAATGAAATCTATCACCATACTTATATAGTCATCAAATGACAGTGATGTCATTAGCACGAGATTGCTTGAAGTACCCTGACCTCATTAGGCTGGCTACTTCGGGAAGTAAAAAAAGTGCATGTTGCTGATGCATCGAAACCAATACAACAATGCAAATGTAGCTATAGGGGCTGAGAAAGTGGTGCTAATCGTCTTGATGGTGTGTTTTCTGAGATTACTATAGAAAAGTCAGCTAGCGATTTATCAGTCTTTCTCCTACCTTTGAGTGCGACCCTCAGTGAAGAGAAGAAGATAGCGGCAACGTGAATTGCAAAACCAACTTGCGCGTTTCAAATTCACAAATTCAGACTTACAAAAACTGAGTGGAATCCAGTAGTCCCTGTAAAAGGGAGTTATTGCCAACATTCTGGAGGGGGGGTTTGCAATACCCCTCATTCTACAAGCACGTGAATGCACTGCTGGCACATTCCATCTTTGTGATCGAACGCAAAGTTATGCTAATCGAAAATTGATCTGTTACCTTGGCACCGATTGATGCAACTATCACTAAGCTAGAGAAAAACAGGAAAATAAATCAGTTCAACATATTACATGGCGTCATGTTTAACCACTTCTATTTTGTATGCGAAATATCTGCTGTGCATAATTGCAGTGCGACAGAAAACGAATCAACAAACTAGTAAATGATACTAAACTGGGGAAAATTTTGCAAAGTTATGATATTTCTGCTTTATGAATCCACAGGCCAATACAAACTGAAAGATGGTTCTGATGTCCAAACGTGGAGATGTGTAACATGATCTTGCTGCATGGTGACTAGTAGATCAGATGGTTGCAAGGTGCTTCCTTTGAGTGACTTAAAAATTCTGGCCGTTGATTCGGCATAATATGTAATTCACCCGGAATTCATTCCATTGTTTCATTTTTTGAAACACAATATGACCACAGTTTCGAGACAGATCAAACGATTGACTTATCGGATGATTACAACTACTGGTGTTTCGATTCATATCTCAGGGACCTTCCTCAAAAGAAGTTGATAGAGTTCAGCTGTTATGAATGCCGTCTGCAGCAGCAGAGTGAATAGTAAACTTACAGCTTAAACGTTCCAGCTTCTACAAAACGATTACAACAGCCATATACGAGTTGGCCTTTCTTTAAAGAACATCTGTAATGCGTCACGTTTCAAAATACTTGATCTTATGATCATGCGCTAAGACAAAACGGCTTAATAGCCAATAATAACTAATAACATGAATAGCCTTAATAATATAAACCTATTCACTGAATAAATTCTTTCCTGTCTTCAGAATTACCGTTTGAAACGTATCAAATGCTGCAGACGACAACCATAATAACAGGAAACGATGGCGAAGCGTCTTACTCTGAAGTAATACAAGGAAATATAGATTGGAATGTCGATAGTGATGCACCATCTGACAAACCAACAGTTAGCGGTGATGTGTTTAAGAGAAAAAACCGTGTTTATGCTCTTATCCAAACGTCAAACACTGATCTTGGTTGCTCTGTTGTTCAAGCTCCGCTAGCCCTAAACGACGAAAACAAAATGACAACAATGTTCTTATTATGCAAAGCTTTAGCTATCGTATAACAAATATCGAAGACCTTTGCAGCACACCGTTGGTCAACGCGTGTCATGTGAAAACTTCAGTACAGTTTTAATCCTCAAACGATGAACAATGAAAAACTCAGTAGCACTTAAACAGTGACTCATCGTAGAAGGTATCGATTGACAACAATACAACTAAGAAAGGTGCATTTCAAAAGCCTAGCTGTCCACACCGCTACTGCACATGCTGATCAACCATCATCACCATACTACTAGTACCAACTGCTTATGCGGAGTGCACTTAGAAGAAACTCAGCTTCGCTCGCTGGCATTTAGAATAATGTTCGACATGAAATCAATAGGTCGTGACTAATGCATTTATTTAAAATGGCTATGAGGCGTGCATCAGCTCGAAACTGCGTGCTTGGACATTATACTTGCTGCGTTGGCAATCAAGATCCGAAATTCACAAACTGCTAATTTTCATCGCCCTGAAGCATCTGCAAACGATGACGAAAAACCATACGAGTAATGATGCCCATATGGAATAAATTAAAATTCTGGCCACAAGATGACCCACCAAGCTGCTATAGACTGACGGTATGATCGTCGGGACGAATGGCATGGTGGTGACACAGAGTACGATGACGATGATGATGAAGATTATCTTGGTAATAACAAATACGAGGTATGGCAGTAGGAAGGCCGGTCTGTCGCGCCGAATTCCGACCAGTAACAGATAGCCAGTGATAACAGACAGTGGCAGGTTCATCAGCGATGGGATAAAGTCCTGCGATCCGATGCCAAATGCCGTAACGATGATAACGACGAACAAAAATGCACAGATGATCTCAAAAATACCGATGTATACTGTGCCACGCGTCAGTGTCGCTATTCCGAAGCAGCACCTGTCGTAGTCATCGTCGACGAAGTAGGCCATCACCCAGGAGTGCTTTTCTGGTCGTTCAAACTCGCGGTTGCCGAGTCTAACTGTGCTGAAGC